CCCTGTCCCTAGGAAGTGTATCATCCTGCCCCTAGGAAGTGTCATCCTATCCCTAGGAAGTATATCATCCTGCCCCTAGGAAGTGTCACCCTGTCCCTAGGAATTGTCATCCTGCCCCTAGGAAGTGTCATCCTGTCCCTAGGAAGTGTCATCCTGTCCCTAGGAAGGGTCATCCTGTCCCTAGGAAGTGTCATCGTGCCCCTAGGAAGTGTCATCTGCCCCTAGGAAATGTCATCCTGCCCCTAGGAAGTGTCGCCCTGCCCCTAGGAAGTGTGCAGGGAAGTGACAGATGCAGACCAAGGTCAGGAAGCAGAAAGGCCTTTGGCGAGCACAGTGGACCCAGCTGAGGGCAAAACTGTAACCTCAGGAGGCCGTGCAGTGTCTTCAGCGGCACTTGTGTCCCAGGACAAGAACCTGCTGGAGCACAGGCTGTGTGATCCTCATTTGGAAAAGGAATCAAGAAGGTTTATTAATAAAGAATAAGACAGCATTGAGGGGAGGTGTGGTGTCTGTGTGGTGGGGCGGGGAGGGGGGGCTGGTAACACCAACCAAGATGGTCACACTGGGAAGGGAGGAGCCACAGGAGCAGTCAGGCTTGGCTAGGAGACAGAGGGGCTGGGAGTCGCAATGTGGCTGGAAGCCTATTAATTAAAACCGAGTGCAAACCTTCACAGTAGAGGAGGTTTCAGCAAACTGAAAAACAGCAACAACCTTTATTTCAATGAGAAAAAGAGACCCCCCTCTCCCCCGCAAACAGCAGGACCCTGAGAGGAAGGTGTAGTCAATTTGGGTTGGCAGTTGCTTGTGCAGAATGACAGACTGTAACCTGCCCACAGCCATTCACAGCACATTGCATGTATCCATTTGTCTAGTGACCCACCCACTTCTCCCAGAATTCACCATGCTCGGTGACTGCAAAGGCCAAGCCTGGCTGGCCAGTTACTTCTTACACAGTGTCATGTCTGAGTTTTCTTGAAACTCAATAAATGTAGGAAGAAAAGATGAATGCTAGATACCATCTATGCCTTGACAATCATGTGTATCTGGTGTTCTTTGCGTGGGATTGCCTGGTTGGTGGCCGCTCACTGTGGCATCTCACACATGCTCACTGTTTGAGGCAAAAACTTTAATTTACCACGAATCTGCAAGTGGATGCCAGTGTTGATTTGGAAAAAAGCAAGAGGTAGGCATTGATAGAAGCATATAATCCAATAAAGTCTCTATTTTTTTTATTCCAAAAGAAATCAGAAAAGTATTCCGTAGATCCCCACAGTTAACAATGCAGGAAATGTAGACACAATATTTTTTATATATTTTGTAACGATGTCATTGTTGTCTTTCTGTAAGATTATATATGCTTTTCTTTTGTTAAAAATAGGAAGTTTTCCTGTGTTGAAAATGTCATTTTTTGGAAGAGAAATAAAATGTAATACCTATGTTATTAATGTCTGGAAAATCAATGAGACAATAAAGCTAATAAGAGAAGGAGATAAACTGACTGAATCTTTGAGAAGAGAGCAAATACCTGAATTGTTTTCTTCCATTCAGTTGTGAGCAACTTTACATAACCCATCAGTGTGCCAGGCACTGATCAAGGCAGTCAGGATAGCAGAAATCAAACACGTGACATCCTGCCACACACGTCACAGAGGGAAAGACTGAACTGAGAGGAGTGGGTGATGGAAATGTACCCAAAAAAAATGAAGTTCATGCTATTTTAAAAAGTATTTTCTGTCATTTTGTTTAATAATGTTCCTTTTTCTTCCTGTTTTCAATTTTTTCCTATTTTCCAATTTCCATCTAAATTCACCAGCCGACCATGTTGGCCTCTACGGTTTAAACTTGTATCAGTCTCATCAACCCAACGGCCAGTACACGATGGAATTTGATGATGATGAGCTGTTCTATGTGGACTTGGATAAGAAGGAGACCATCTGGAGGATTCCTGAGTTTGCCCAACTGAGAAGCTTTGACCCACAAGGTGGACTGCAAGAGATAGCTGTAGCAAAATACAACTTGGACATCCTGATTAAAGAAACCAATTCTACCCCAGCTGCCAATGGTTCGTGCTCAGCACCCTGCTCCGCCCTCCCATCCCCAGTGGGGAGTGTGAGCCACTGCTCTATAAAACCCTCTCCTTTCCAAGGCATGCCCAGACCTCATCACCCTCACCCTCTCTTCTTACAAACCACACATTTTGTGTAATATAAAGCTCTTGTTCCCACAGTTCCTTCCTTGAACCTTTCAAAGAGGCTCCAGCAGACTTAACACCCTAGAGAGAAGGGCACAGGGTTAAAGTGGATGCAGTTACACTTTAGCTCCAAGCAGGAGGAAGCTCGGGCTCCTTGACAGTCATGGTTTAAGCCTTGGCAGGAGGCTCCCTCACCAGGCAGTGAGGGATTGTCCGGGAGAGAATCTCCCGTCAGCCACTCACGTCCAGGCCGTTTCCCTTCCAGAGGTTCCTGAGGTGACCGTGTTCCCCAAGTCCCCGGTGCTGCTCGGTCAGCCCAACGTCCTCATCTGCCTGGTAAACAACATCTTCCCTCCTGTGATCAACATCACGTGGCTGAGGAACAGCAAGTCAGTCACAGAAGGTGTTTATGAGACCAGCTTCCTCTCCAACAGCGACCATTCCTTCCACAAGATGGCTTACCTCACCTTCATCCCTTCCGACGATGACATCTATGACTGCAGGGTGGAGCACTGGGGCCTGGAGGAGCCGGCGCTGAAACACTGGGGTTTGTATGAGTTCATCCTGCTCCTGCGCTTTCTAGTTCTTTGTCATCCCTAGAACAGTCTGTCTCTGGCTCTGTGACAAAACTCCACTCTTAAAATATATCGTAATGATAGACTTCATGGTCTTCCATAAGCCCATCCCCAAAGTCTGTGTGGACTGACTTCCGTCCTCACAGGGGCTGTTTGTAAACACACACATGAACACACTCCCTCCTGACTCCAAGATCTTCCCTTTCCCAGAACCCGAGGTCCCAGCCCCCGTGTCAGAGCTGCCGGAGACTGTGGTCTGTGCCCTGGGGTTGTCCGTGGGCATCGTGGGCATCGTGGTGGGCACCGTCTTCATCATTCAAGGCCTGCGATCAGGCGGCCCCTCCAGACACCCAGGGCCCCTATGAGCCCCACCCTGGAGAGGAAGGTGAGGTTTGTGTTGTGGGAGCTGAAGCCTCCACACAGAGGGGAGCGAGGGAAGGGGAGACTGGTGAAAACACAGTTGGAGCATTGCTGGAGAACTGTGCAGGTGTGATCACAGCTCGGGAGCCTTTGGAACACATCCCTCTCCTGTCTGTTTTGTTTCAGGGGTGTGGCCCTCTCCAGAGCATCAGTGGTGAGCTGGATGACCCGGCATGGAGTGTTTCCTGGTCCAATTCATCTCGTTGTCTTCCCCAAGTGTCCTCCATGTCACTTTTCTCTTGGACCTGACGCTGTCCCCTCACAGCTCACACGCCCTTGGGATTCTCCCCTGATCTGAGTTTTGGTTTTGGCATCTTTCACATCATATCTACTATAGAATCTCTCAGTGGCCCTGATTCAGTAGCTCCACAAAAAAACAATAAATCACCTTGTGTAACTCAGTTACTAGTTTTTGTTTTGTTTTTCCTGTCTTTCATCTTGGAGCTTACTGGAGCCAGTACAATATAATCCCATGTTCAGTGACTCAGAAACAACACAATCCATCGATGGAATATTTGAGTATCTTAGCCAAGGTTGAACTTTCTTTCTCTTCTTTTTGTTCCGAGCCCTGGCCACTGTCACTTGTCTCTAGTCAAGGTGTGAAATCTTCCTCAGTGTACACTTGCTGTAAGGAAATGCCAAGGCAAGGGGCACACACCAGTAATCCCAGCACCCCACAGACAGAACAGGAGAGTCCTCACAAGTTTAAGCCAAGCTGGTCTACACGAGGCAAACTGGAGCTATATAGGAAGGCCCTGTCTAAATATGTGTGCATGTGAGTAGCATGAAAAATAAAAGACCCAAAGACAGATATTGGGGTTCAAACTTCAAGCTGAAGATAAAAAAAAAAAAGCAAAGCAGCTAAGCCACTAGTTCTCACTCTACCTCAGACTGAAAGGTGATCCTGGCTCCACCAAACCTCAGACTGCTTCCTCTCCTCAGCATGGTTGGAGAATTCTGAAACTTCAATGACTTTCTATCTTCAGTGTGGCTGGAGAATGAAAGCCAGCTCTGAGACCCTGTTCCTGTCTTAAATACTCTTCACTATTGTGTAGGCCATGATGGCCTTGAACTCACAGAGATCCACCTATCTCTTAATCCTGAGTCCTGGGGTTAAAGGTGTGGCCACCACTGCCTGATCTCTATATCTTGAGGCTGACTTTGCTTTCTGAATCCTCAGGCAAGCTTTAATAAATCATAAATAATATATCACCACATGTGTGTATGTATGTGTGTATGTGTGTATATGTGTATGTGTGTGTATGTATGTGTGTGTATGTTGTGAATGTATGTGTGTATGTGTATGTATTTGTGTGAATGTGTGTTTGTGTGTATGTGTGTATATGTGTGTGTATGTGTGTATGTGTGTGTGTGTGTATGTGTGTGTATGTGTAGGTATGTGTGTGTATGTGTAGGTATGTGTGTGTGTGTTTGTGAGTATGGTATATTTGGGAAGTGTGTGTGTGTGTGTGTGTGTGTGTGTGTGTGTGTGTGTGTGTGTGTGTATGTGTGTGGGCTAACTTTTTAATTGGAAGAACTTAGAATCTCAAAGGCAAGAAAAAAATTTAAATTGTATCAAAAGTCAAAATTGTTCTCAATTTTTTTGGAATCATCCAGGAGAGACACCTGGTGGTGTGACTGTGAGGGCATTTCCAGAGACATGTAGGTGAGGTGGCAAGAGCCAGCCTGAGCATAGGAAGCATCTTCTGGGCTGGACCAGAGGAGAAAATAAACCACTTGCTAATCTCCACAAGTTCTTCTGAACTGAATTGCCATAATTCAGGAGAGGACTTGACATTCCAACCACATGTCATTGAATAGACTCATTAACAGTAGAATTAATTTCTACAGTTCCGTTTAAACTATGGCTGCCATCTTAATTCTGAATGAGAATATTTTCATTGAGGGAATGAGGTCTCCATGGGAGATATTAATAAAAACTTCAGGCTTCTCACTTTTACATTGTTGCCATTGTACTGAGTCAGAGTGGTAGATTTCTAGAACTAGTAGCATCAATCTCCTGTCCTGTAAAACCATATGCATGAAGCATATAAAACTTATGACAATCCTGGGTAGTATTAACTACAGATAACCATACTTAAAAGGTTATATTTAAACATATTACTGGCTGGTTTTGTGTGTCAACTTGACACAAGTTAGAGTCATCAGAGAGGAAGAAGCCTCAGTTAAGGAAATGCTGAGATCCAGCTGTAAGGCATTTCTCATTTAGTGATCAGTGGGGGAGGACCCAGGCCATTGTGGATGGTGCCATCCCTGGGCTGGTGGTCCTGGGTTCTATAAGAAGGCAGGCTGAGCAAGCCATGAGGAGCAACCCAGTAAGCAGGCAGCACCCTCCATGCCCTTTGCATCAGCTGCTGTCTCTGGGATCCTGCCCTGTTTGAGTTCCTGTCCTGACTTCCTTCAGTGATGAACAGCTATTTCGAAGTGTAAGTCAAATAAATCCTTTCTTCCCTGATTTGCTGTAGGTGGAGTTTTTCATTGGGACCACTGGCCAGCTCCCAAATAACCACACAGAGGCTTAATATTAATTATAAATGTTTGGCCAATAGTTTAGGCTTATTATTAACTAGCTCTTACAACTTAACCCATATTTATTAATTTACATGTTCCTACATGGCTCATGGCTTGTTACCTTATTTTCCACATGTCTGGTCCCTCTGCATGGGCCTGGAAACTGTGAGTCTTACCTCAGCATCCTCTCAGTTTGGTCTCCTGCCTCCTCTCCTCCTGATTAGCTATTGTCCAATCAGCTATTTATTAACAACGAGAGTAACACATCTTCTCGGTGTACAAAAAAGATTATTCCACAGAATTCTCCCTTTTTTGTCTAACTAAAGATTTTAACTTTACACATAGTAAAATTATATACAACAAAACAGTTATCAAGAGTTACAATTACAATATCCAGTCCCTTTGTATTTGGCAAAATTAGAGAAAATACTCTATATCTATCTTTGTGAACCTAATATACCTAATTTACTTTCTATCAGAACTAAGGAAAAATTTTAAGTTTAGTTATTTAGTCTTTGACTTCATCAAAGACCCCAGAAGGGTGTAACATTACCTAATGACAGGGACATCTGGCTGCCTGGACAGTTACCCAAAGTTCTTTTGTAACTTTGGGAAGTCCGTCTTCAGTCTATAGGCCTAGAATATCTGACAGACATTTCTGAGAAGCAGGGAATTTTGAAAGACTGTCCTATCTTGTCTAGCAAAGTTTAGCAAACATGTTCTCTTGCATCCTGCTGGTCAAGTTTGGGCAGCATACTGTCAGCAATTGAGGCAAGGGTAGATTTTTTTTTCCAAATGGCTAGCTTTTCCCTTAAAGAGAGAAAGCTCCATATGGAGGTTCTTCAATGATCATCGTCATCTTTTGAAGTAGATCTGTGCTGCCAGGAGCAGATGTGTCTCATGAAAAGCCTTATGTTACTAAAACCTCTTAAATGCCATATTCTGTAAGTCTTTGAAGTGGCTGAAGATTATCTGTCTATCTGAATATTTATGTTTAACTTTGAAAACTACCTAATATGACTGTAGGTTTGATTATTACAAATGACTACTAACCTGCATTTCTTAATTATACATTATATTTTTAAATGAGTTGCATAAGCACAATAACCCAAACAAGAGTAGAAACATGCACATAGTATAGCAAAAAAAAAACTTTAAATTTGTATCAATAAACAAAAGTCCATACCAATATAAAATATTTTGAGATTAATAGTTGATTTTTGGATTAAAGTAGATTCAGTAACCTACCCTTTTATCTCATTATTTCTATATTACACCCCCCTTTTTCCTTCAGAAAGAGATCTTTGAATTTAACTCCTTTTTTAAGCTTTTCTTTTTTGACTATGACCAATAACAACTTGTAACCAACCTCCATCAAATGCTAACAAACATCCACGATTCATCTCTTGGGGATGTGGGTATTGTTTTCTCTAGACTACTTCCTGTTGTCTAGGTGCATTAGAATCTTTGGGACAACCTTGACAAACTCAGGTTAATGGCTAAGTCCTGGCTGCAGTAGTTTGTGAGGCTGGACCATCTCAGCCAACAGCCTTGAAGCTGTTCTGGATGCAGAACTCTGAGGGAACTACAACAGAGGCACTCTGAGAGGCTGAGTCAGCTAGGCCACCTGTTTTCATTTTTGACTGGTCCCCTTGCTCTGAAAATACACAAACGTTTAAAGGTAACATACATATCTGTATTAATACAAATATGGAGTATACTTTGTACACAACTCAGCCAAAATGATTTTTGTTTTGTCAAAAATTTTAAAGACAACACAATTATATACAGGATCCACACTTCCCATGTGTTTTCCATCTTTATGTGGCCTTTTTCTTTTATAATAATTTATCTCTTTTTTAAGGGCTTTGCTTTATTATTTTTTATTTTATTCTGTATATTCTGTATATACTCTCTCCTTTCTCTCCCATGCCTTTGTACATTTTTTAAGTGCACTGGAACCTGTTTCGAGGCTGCCCAGTGTTTGTGGAATTGCCACCTCACTTTTGTCACAAAACTCTTGAGGATCAGCTTCCTCTTCAAAGGCCTTTTGTATTATTGCATTTTTTCTCTCCCAGAGTCAAGTCACTCATATCAGCAACTAAAGTGTTCAAGAGACTCCTCTTGCCAAATTTTTATCAATTTTGATGGGACCCATAATCTCTTGCTCTCCTGCAGAAACAAGCATAACCTCAGCCCCATCTTAACACTTTCCCTGTTTCCACTCTGATATTAAAACATCCTGTACTACACAGGCTGGCTCAATTCAGCAGGTGTTTTCACAATACAACGCCTTTCTGTAACTGTGGTCTGTGTTTCATCCATGTTTTAAAAATTTAAAGTTAATAAAGCATTATGTAGTCTATCTCTGGGGATCCTCAGATCCCACTTCTGTTTAAAAAGAATCTCCTTT